TTCCGGGGGAGGGGGGGGGTCAAGTAATTCAAGTTTGAAAAAATTATGAAATCGAAATACAAATACCTAATGATTTTCCAATAACATAGAAGAAGAATTTTACATGTCGAGTAATTTTTTTTTTCTTTTAAAAAATTCCGGGGGAGGGGGGGGGTCAAGTGACCCCCCCCCTTGCCCCTTCCTGCAGGCACTCGTGTGCATAACATTCCCACCCAATCACTGTGCTTTGAACAGTTCCATGATATAATTTTTCAGGCGACAAAAACTGCGATAAAGATTGTTTGTGAACACCTGCTCAAATTAAAACATTTAAAGCATATTGAAGACGGTTTTTGTATCTGTGATGAGTGGGTTTTATGTTGCAGTTCACCAGAAAGCTCAACCTATAGTTGAGTTTCTATAGTGAAACCTTATCAATTCCCATTGAATTAGTTCATAATCAACTTCATATCCATGTTATAATAATAATACATACTTTGAACTGTCTGTATTTAGTTTCCAAGAGCGTAAATCTCGGCAACCGCATACACCTATGCCCGAGAACTGTCAACTCAATACAAACTTTCTCTTAGCAAAAAATGGGCAATAATGTAGACCCCCCCCCCCACTAACATGAAGTGCTTAAACTGGGTGCAGTTTTCATGTACCTTCATATAAATACACCCACACTGCATTTAAAGTTATTTCTTGTTAGTGAAAAAATAAGCATAACGAGGATGGTTGAAGACATAAAAGGTTTTCGGGTGACTTTGTTAACAATTCAAACCCATATACAAATAATGGTACTTTAGCCAGCATTTTGTTTTGTATTATCCGATTCGACTTTATATATCTTTGCAAGAAAAACATAAAATGCCCTCAGAATTTGCCAGTTTTTAACGAAGAAGAAGATATAAAAATATCACAGAATTAAAAAATAACTTCACTACAAGTAATACGTGAGTTTAAACCTTCTTAATTATATCATGATGTACTACAAACTGTTAAGCCTAGATGAAAATTCAAAGAATTCATATATAATCGGATTCAGTTACTTCATACTTCTGTTAATCTGTACAAAAAAATCAGGAGTCCTTTCTGGCACGGGTTTTACTCTAGTGGAAAATAAAAATGACAGTTGCAACACAAAAGGATATCAAAATACTACATATTACGGATAAAATCATCCTTTCTATTGAAATGTTACCCCGGTTTCAAATATTAGTCACAATTTCTTTGTTGTCATGCTAATTAAAACATCACAACTTTAGGTTTAATTACTTGTACACCTTTAAACAAAGAAAGGGAAAGATTGTGTTTTTAAAAAAACATTTCAAAATCATATATATATATATATTAAGAAATTTCTAAAAGATTACTACAAATTATCATCTCACAAATACGAAATAGAGGTTATCATGGTATCATCAAGTTGCCATTAGCAAAGTTGTTCTTTGGGTCCACTTCTTGCTTTATAGCTCTAAGCATGTCCAAGCCAACACTAGAGATGGTCTTCTCCAGCCACCGCTTACGAACCTTACCCACTGTCAAATATACAGACAACACTGAGTCAACATAAAGTGAAGTTTAACAACAACAACTAACTGTGAAATAACTTCCCTATTAAAGGTTCTGCTTTAAATTCGCCATCTAAAATCATGTGTAGACTAGAAGTTGGGGGAACATCCGTGCATCAGACTGAGACTAGAGGTCGAGATTGTTCATACAATATATGAGGATTAGTAATTATGGAAATATTTAGTAAAATTACTTTTAATATGCTGAAAATGTTTGTATAATATATTGATTGTATTAAAAAAAAACAACTTAGAATGGAATTGTCAACCAAATATAACTGATACTTCACACCATTGTTACTTGGTGAAACTCCATAATTACAAAATTGAGGAAAAACAAGACAACTTAGAATGGAATTCTCAACCAAATATAACTGATACTTCACACCATCGTTACTTGATGAAACTCCATAATTACAAAATTGAGGAAAAACAAGACAACTTAGAATGGAATTCTCAACCAAATATAACTGATACTTCACACCATCGTTACTTGATGAAACTCCATAATTACAAAATTGAGGAAAAACAAGACAACTCAGAATGGAATTCTCAACCAAATATAACCGATACTTCACACCATCGTTACTTGATGAAACTCCATAATTACAAAATCGAGGATAAACAAGACAACTGTACGTTTCACAAATACATCATTTATCATGAAAGCCAGAAATTCAAAATCAATATACCCACATACTTTACCAAACAACAGCAAAAAGGAATGGTTAAAGATGAGCTACATTGATAAACCTCCTCAAAAAATATATATAACACACTGAACAATGAAATCTACATATATATATAGAGATCAAACAGGATGTTGCATAGAAACGAGAATTAAAGGAAAATAAATTCAGCCTTTGCATTCCACCTTATTGAAACTAAATACCAATTTGATCCAGAAAAAAACTGCAAAATGTTACATATTTATGACAAAGGTAAAAAAACCAGACAGTCTGGAAATTTTAGAAATGAATAAATGTCTAAAAACAAATCCAGAAAAAGCTATAAACGACAAAACCAACTTAAGCTCCTCCCCATTTGTCTCTAAGTGAATGTCAACGTCACTTCCGGTTCTTTGTTACAAAACATTTCAATCTGTACCCGATGATGCCTTTACTGGCAAAACCGTGATCTTAATAAATGATGTATTTCTGAAAGGTCTTCTTTTTTCCCCATTCTGTAAATATAACTGGTTTACTATCTGCAAGATTTAATTAAATTTAGGTAAACTTTTAAAAGTGAAAAATATGTTTTGGTTATGAATATAATGGTCCTACTGATTATTACAAATACACACGCAATAAGGTCAAATATTCATGGCCACAAGTACAGTGTAATTTCATTTGCAAGAAACCATCAAAATGGCTCATTACACCAAAAATTAAGCCATTTTATCAGTTCGTCACAGTACCTTTTGTTATGTCTCATGTTATCCAATATGTTTATATCCATTACATGCTTGTGTGTGTGTGTGTGTGTGTGTGTGTGTATATATATATATATATAT